TATATATGTTGTTGTTGTTAAGTACCGTGGAGTCAGTTCCGATTCATAATGACCCTGTACAGGGTTTCCAAGGCTGTAAATCTTTACAGGAGCATAAAGCCTCATCTTTCTCCCGCGAACGTCTGGTAGTTTCTAACTGCCGACCTTGAGCTTAGCAGCCCAGTTCGTAACCAGAGCTCCAGAAATAGCCTCAAACACCACAGCAGTTGTGAGGATGGGGCAGGACCAGGAGGTGTTCGGTTCTGTTATGCACAGGGTTACTATGAGTCGGAGCTGACTTGGTGGCCGCCACCACACAACAACAAAATACATCAAACCAGGTATCATTTTATTTATATTTATATATCTATAGATACATAAATATATAAAATATGATATATATGATTTTACATATACTTGTTGTTGTTGTTATGTGCCGTGGAGTCGGTTCCGACTCATAGCGACCCTGTACAGGGTTCATGAGGCTGTAAATCTTTACGGGAGCAGAAAGCCTCATCTTTCTCACACAGAACAGCTGGTAGTTTCTAACTGCTGATCTTGCAGCTCGCAGCCCGATTCATAACCACTACGCTACCAGAGCTCCTTTACATATATGTATGTATCTATGTATGTATGTATATGTATATATGTTGTTGTTAAGTGCCGTCGAGTCAGTTCCAACTCATAGCGATCCTGTACAGGGTTTTCGAGGCTGCAAATCTTTACGGGAGCAGAAAGTCCCTTCTTCTTTCTCCCGCGGAGCAGCTGGTAGTTTTGAACTGCTGATCTTGTGGTTCACAGTCCAATTCATAACAACTACACTACCAGAACTCCTTATATATTTATATATATGTGTGTGTGTGTATACATAAATAAAATGATACCTGGTTTGATTCATTTTGTTGTTGTTTGGTGGCGACCACCAAGTCAACTCCGACTCGTAGTGACCCTGGGAGTTGGTTCTGGCTCACAGTGACCCTGTGTGGGATTTCCAAGGCTGTAAATCTTTGCAGGAGCATGAGGCCTAGTCTTTCTCCTGTAGAACAGCTGGTGGTTTCGAGATGCTGGCCTTGGGCTTAGTGCCCGATTCCTAACCACTACACTACAAACAGCTTAAAACAGCCACAGCCGGCCCTGAACTATTTATTAATAAGGAAAAGGCCAGAACGAGGTGAGGAGAGAATTTAAAAACAAAACAGGCCAAAATTAAAATCCTGAGGTACAGCATAACAACAAACAGTGGCATTTTGAAATTTATCAGACAGCTTTGAAGGCAAGAAGCTGAAAGAGGACATTAAAGTCATACTCATATTAGGCTACAGATTTATTTTCTTTTTTCTTCTTTTTTTTTTTACTTTCTTCTCTCTCTCATCTCCTTTTCCCACGATTATAGACTACAATATCCAGTCGGTTTTTTTGTTTTGTTTTTCTTATTTCCTTTGCTTTTTTGCTGTTGCTGTTGTTTCCTTTGATTTTTGTTTTTTCTTTAGTTCTATTGTGTTTTGGTTTTGTTTCCCCTTTTACCTTTAGGGAGCTCTTTCTCTCCGTACACTACCCAAGAAGAGACAGCAGTTGCTGCCATATAGTTAAGATACAATCACACGCTATAAAGCCCCACAATCCAAGCAAGAACCAATACCAACTGTCATATACCAAGGAGGCAGAAAACACCTGCGAAAGTTACTCTCAGTTAAGCAATAAGAAGAGTGAAAAGGGAAGCCCACCTCCTGATCACATCTACCTGGAGGCAATCAAAAAGCACAAAAAATACCAAAACACACACTCAATTAAGTATTAAGGCCAAATTAAGTATTTAGCTAAACACTAAACATGTCCAAAAAGTAAAAACAGATGACCATATCAGCACACATCCAGAAACAAGATAAAATGTCTGAGACAGATAACTTAGAGGTAGGCCTGGACTCCATTCTGGAAGGAAGGCAAGCCTGGGAAATACCTCAGAAGGAATTCAGAAAAATGATTATAAAATGTTTCAAAACACTTTATAACAAAAAAATGGAGTTCAGAAAAATAAGGAAGAAGTCAGGAGAACGTTACAGGAACAATCAAATAAGACAGATACAGCATTGGAAACAATTCACAACCTACAGAAAGAGGTTCAAATGATCAATAATAGAATATCAGAAATAGTCAATACACTGAAAGGGCAAAGGAGTAGAACTGAAGAGATGGAAGGCAGAACTAGTGAACTGGAAGACAATTCTCTCAATACCAGTAAGACAGAAGAACAAACAGAAAAAAGGGATTAAAAAAATCTGAAGAAGGTCTAAGAGTCATGTTGGACAATGTGAAAAGAAATAACTTAAGAATTATCGGCATTCCAGAACAGGAAGAATCCCACAAGTCCACAGAAGAGATTGTTGAGGAGCTTCTCGAAGAAAAATTTTCTAACACCCTGAAAAGTGAAAAGAGAAACATTCAAGAAGCTCATTGAACCCCAGGAAGGAAAGAACCCCAAAAGAAAATCACTGAGACATATCATAATCAAGCTCTCCAAAATCAAAGATAAGGAGAGAATCCTGAAAGCAACTAGGGAAAAGAGAAGCATTACATACAAAGGCAAGGAAGTCAGATTAAGCTTGGATCTCTCAACAAAAACCATGCAAGCAAAAAGGCAATGGGGAGACATATATAAAGCCCTGAAAGAAAAAAACTGTCAACCAAGAATCCTTTATCCAGTAAATCTATCAATCAAATACGACAGTGTTATCAAAACATTCCAGGATAAACAGAAGATAAAGGATTTTGCCAAAGCCAACCCTGCTATGAAAAACATCCTAAAGGGAGTGCTGTGAACTGAGAACCAACAAGAACAGACAACAACCAGACATTGACAACAACATCAATAGTGTCTGCACCCCCAGAAAGTATTTGCACAAATAAGTTCTCGGTTAGAAACACAAAGGTTGAGGGGGCATCTCTCCAAACAAATGGTGAACTACGAAGTGTGTACTCGTCTTCATTCTCTGCCCTCCAACGCTGAGGCTGCCCCAGCCCTCTGCCCTGAACGCTTAAGTACTTGACTACTAACCTAGTTTGGCAAGTCAAGTACCTGGGAAGAAAGAGCTGGTGATCTACTTCCAGAACCTCAGGCGTTGAAAACGTAGTGGAGCACAGTTCTCCTCTGGGACTCAGGGAGAGCCCATAAGTCAGAATCCACTTGACGGCAGCGAATTTACACTGAACTAGAAATCCAGTGACGTTTTACTTTAGCTAAATCTGCTTCCAGAAACCATTTTTAAAAAGTGTTACAGAGTAAAGATGTCACTTTGGAGACTAAAGTACACTTGACCTAAGCCATGATATCAGTCACCTTATTTGAGTGTGAACACTGGACAGTAAATAAGGAAGACCAGAGAAGCATTACTCAGTTTGAATTGTGATGTTGGCAAAGAAGATTGGCTACACCGTGGGCTGAGAGAAGAACAAATTATTCTGTTTTGGAAGACATGCCATCAGATTGCTCCTTAGAAGCAAGGACGGTGAGACATCATCTCTCATCCTTTGGACATGTTATCAGGAGGGAGCAGTCTCTGGAGAAGGATATCTTGCTTGGTAGAGTGGAGTGTGAGTGAAAAAGAGGGAGACATCCAAAGCCATCTCTTGACCAACTGGGAGCACCAATGGACTCAAACACAGCAATTATGAGGGTGGCAGAGGGCCAGGCAGTGTTTCCTTCTGTTGTGCATAGGGTCACTGTGGGTTACAAACAATCTGAGATCCTGGTGTGGCACTGTGGATTAATGCACTAGACCTCAAGTTGGGCAGTTCAAACCTACCAGCTGTTCCTCGGAAACCCCATACAGGGTCACTATGAGTCGGAGCTGACTCGGCAGCCCTTAACAACAACAACATCCACCATGACAGTTATTGGTGCCCAGACTTGTCTGATTCCTAAATCTTTCTCCCCCAAACTGATTCCCTTTCCTTAGAGAACCCTGAGTGCAGTGCTCTGAACTGCTTTATCCTCACTGTGGCTTTCTCCTCACGACGGTTTGTTTTGAGGAGTCAGCTGTCTTCACGACGTTGTATGTTTCATGTTTAAAACTCCTTCCCCTTTTTGTTCTATGCTTCGGCCAGCCTTCTGAGCCCACTGCTTCCTTTTCCCCCTTTTCCGTCTTTTCCGGTTCATCGTTTTGTGTGACGGTTATACCTCAGTCAGATTAACCTCAGTAAGACCTGTCTACATAGAGGAGATGCACTTGTCATGAGGAAAGTCTCACTCTAAAAAATGAAATCATATGTGAGTGTCAGTCTTGTTATGTGCTCTAAAGAGGGTCAGCGAGAAGGAT